ATTATGAGCAAATTCTCACTTACAGGTTCCCACAACTCTAAAATAAATAAATAATAACTAATTATAATCATATTATGTTTTTATAATCACAAAAGGACTGTTTATTAATTACTTAAATTTTCCATAATTTATCTTGTAGTGTTTAATAGTTTCCTGTTTACAAGACTTTCAATATTTTCATTATTATTCTTAAATGTATCATATCAATGTTATATATTGTATTCTTTTTATTTTTAAATGTGTGATGGTTCACTTCTTGTGGAGAATACAAATCCCTCCTCTATGCTGGTGTTGTAGCCAAGGTTCAGGTTGAAGTTCTACAACAGAAGCATGCCTAGACTCTGATCTTGGCATGGCTTGAATCAATATTTTGGGACTACTTCAATGTTTCCATTAAAAAATTATGTCTTTAGGCAAGGAAATTTTTTTGCCTGCAAACACATGAACAGGTTGAGAAGATATGAGACTAAATCAATCTAATAGTTAAACTTAAGAAAAGGACATGCCATTGCCAAATCTACTTGTCTGAGGAAAAGTAGGTGCTGGTTGAAGATCTGACAACAGAAGTCACCCCCAGCAAGACTGTTAGTCACCAGTGGAAGTGACTGTACCATACCAGGAGAGCAAAGAGATGTTTTTGTCTCACTTCCCTCTGGGACTGGAGTACTATGTAAGACTTAGAGCTGCTGTCCCATATACTAGTCAGCCTCATCCTCAGGCTGGAGCTCAGAAATGTGTAGAATTCCTGCATTGGCTGAAATATCATTTGACCCAAAGAAGTGGCCGTGGACTCCAAAGCCCCTGTTCTTACTTGAGTCTGAGTAAAAACTCAACAGAAACTGGGGAAGGCTCCTGGGCTTTTGCTGGTACCAGGATATGTACTGGCCACCAACACTGAAGCAACTGCTCTAGGTGCAGGTGAGTCTGGTTGATGCTCCAGGAGATGCAAAGAGGGAGAGTGGCTGCATCAGCACAGGCTGAGAGATGGAACCAACAAACACAGAAACATGGGGTCCTGGGGCAGGGACCATGTTTATGTGTCTTGGAAGTTTGAGGCAGAAGGGCTGACAGAACCTAATGAACCAGCACTGGATGCCTAAAATCTGTCCTCACCTGTATAATGAGAGAGAAGCACAAGTAGGAGAGTGGTCTAGGCCTTGGTGAAGTCTTCTTTGGACTCAGGGGTGGGACGAGTTGGCTAAGCTCTCTTTTATCTTCCCCTCAGATCTTAAAAAGGTGGAGCTGCTTACACAAATTAGTTTCCTGGTGACCTTTACACTATGAAGCAGCTGCAATCTAAGGTTAATTTTCTAGCCACAGGGCTGGGAGTGAGACACAAGGGCTGGGAGTAATAGTCAAATTTTGTCCCATAAGAAGGGGGGTTGGGAAGACACAGTTGCTGCAACATTCTACACACTTGTGAACAGAAGACTGCCAGCCCAGGAAGAAAACAGATGCTGAGTCCCCATCAGCAAAACAGGCACCAATATCTGAGCCCTGGGAGTTTGTGGGCATGTGTGGCACAGCTGTGGGTTACACTGTGCAGACCCTGAGACAGACCCACAGTGTCAGTGTAGCAATTATTTTAGGAAAATTGACCTGAGGTCCTAGTCGCTACTGTTTCAGAAATATCTATGAATGATGCTTCATGGTGTCCCAAGGTAACTGATATTAATAAACAAGCTTTTTGGCTGAAATATTTCTAGATTACTAGGAAAAGAAATATGGGAGACATGGCAGCCATCCAATGTGAGGAGGCTGCAGTGAGGGGAGAATGCAGAGGGCTCTGGGAGTGAAGGCCTGAGCAACTTATTCCACAGGGTCAGGGAAGGAGGTGACTGTGACCTGGATGTGAATGAAGAATGGGGTCCTGCAGTATGTAAAAAAAAAAAAAAAAACACTGTATTTTTAGAATAGAGAAATTGAAAATAAAATCCCATGTGTATATTGGCATATTAAGGGTAGGGCAAAATTATCATTTGATAGTAGCATTGAGCAAATTGAATGGAAATTACAGACAGGAAATAGTAGTGGAAGCCAGACAGCAAATGTTCTTGTATGCTATCATGAAGTGATTGGATTGTTTAACCAAATTGAATTTAAAAATTTAATGAGAATTTGGAATCAGGAGGCATGACTGTCTGGGTCTGGTGGCACCTGGCTTTATTGTCCCCCTGACTCCAGTACAGGAAGAGATGTAAAGAACCATGCTAATGCAATCTGTCTACCACAGGCTGGGGGACCAACTAATCCCACTCCAGTGTGTTGAGAGCTTTTTTCCTCCCCCACAGTGTGTCAGAAAACCAGCACTGGAAGTTATAAGGCTCCCTCCCTGGTGGGAACTTCTGGCATAGGGCTCGGCATCTCTCGCACCTGTTGTTTCTCCAAAATCCACATCCATCTTCTCTCACAGACCCCACAAATCTCCTGTTCTTACCCCGAATCCTCCCTGGTGATCAAAGTTTTGGCAGGATTGTACTTGCTAGCACACTGAGAGCTTATTACATCTATGTCCATAAATAAAAGTGTCATATTCACAGATACAATTCTTGTTGACCTGAGTGTCACAGTTATCTCAGAATAAGAAAATGAGTTCGAACTCCTGTTCTTCATTTAAAGTTGCACTGCAATTTCCTACATGCTTAGAGAAATTCTCCCTCTGTCTTGGAATTTTTTTCAAGAAAGATATGCACTAAATGTATATTATATATTTGTATATATATGTATATATGTTTGTCTATATATATTTGTATATATATATTTGTGTATATATGTGTGTGTGAGTATATACATATTACATATACAAATGTGCCCCCAGTATCTTTTGGTTATCCCCTAATGGAATTGCCTGGTCTGATAACTAATAAAGGTGAAGGAGAGAAAAATCCAGGCTCTGGAAAAGGTGGCCAAGGCCTCTGATTGTGGAGGCCTTGTTTTTGCAATTGAGATTTCCCTTGTTCCCCAAGAGTTCCTTATTCTCTAATTCCTTGGTCAAATTTCTTTATGCAAATGAGTTCCTGCTGTGTAAAGGTCTGCCTGGATCTCAAACCTAGACACTGATTCCTATAGGGCTGGAGCATAAAATAGAAAGCAAGGATGTGAGTCAGAGCCCAGTGCTTATGTGGCTCCTTGGACCCAGTGTAGGAAGGCCACACTTTAGAAAGAAGACTGCTTGGCCAGACATGTGGCAGTCAGTCAAGCATTTTCCTCCGTGGCTTGGTAACCCTGTCCTCTCAGAACCAATTCAATAGCACTTCCTGCTTGCCTCAGATCCAGCACTCATCCAGCAACATCTTTCTTTTCTTTTTTTTGAGTTGGAGTCTCACTCTGTTGCCCAGACTGGAGTGCAGTGGCCGCTCCCAGCCACCGCAGCCTCAACCTGCTGGGCTCCGGTGATCCTTCCGCCTCAGCCTTTCAAATAGGTGGAACTACAGGCGTGCATTACCATGCCCAGCTAATTTTTGATTTATTGTAGAGATGAGGTCTTGCCAAGTTGCCCAGGCAGGTCTCGAACCTGTGAGGCAATTCACTCACCTCAGTCTTCCAAAGCGCGGGATTACAGGCTGAGCCACCAAGCCCGGCTTGGCAACATCTTTCTGATGTCACTACTCAGGACAGTAAAATGAGTTGGTGTCCTCAAAAGGATTTGGGCTGAGATATTAGTTGTCTCCAGGTCACTATTGATCTCCATTCTACCAAATATAGACAGCATGTTGCAGTCTTTTTGGTATCAGACATTTCATCATAATCTGACATTTGAGTTTGCTTCTGCATGATGTGTAGGCTCATTCAATTTAGGACCATCTGAAACCAAATTGATTGCTTAAAATTCCCAGATTACTTCGTTGCTTCACACTGTTAAAAATTCTACATGTGCATCCCTCATTGTTTATCTTATTATTAGTTGTTGGTGTTGCTAGGGTTTACAGTGAGGTTCCCTGGACTCTCATGGAATAGGCTCTGGTATTTGATGTCTCTCTTTACTGGGAAAAATATGATATAGTCAGGAATAATTTTTTCTGCTCCTGCTTCACAATCTGGGTTTTATTTTCCCCTTCATTGTTAGCCTGGGTATTCATTGCATTATTGTTACTGTTTTATATAATTAGGGTCTGTGAGTATATTTTCTCAGTGTTCTGTGTCTATAGATGGATCTAAGTACACCAAATCTATCAACATAGTCTCCTTTAGAGAGGTTTTTCTCCACTCCTGTATAAGGGACACCATGGCCTGTCATTAAGCCTGATGAGTTTATTTGGCAAATGCTTCATGAATTGACACCCTCAGTTGTCCCCTAGGTCCTGAGTGGGATGAGCTGTAGGAAGGTCTCATCCATGGGCCTACTTCATCCAGATCCCCAGGAGCAGCCTGAGTCTTTGCAATGGAGGAGCCTCCCTTTCACGCTCTCACATTCCACAAAAAGTTTTGCAAGTCTCAGACCCTCAGTTACTCCCACATCTAATTATTGTCTCATGACATTGTGACTGGAAATGAAGGCACCCATAATGTAGCCAGGCCAGTTCTGTTTTTGTAATTCCTCCCAGGCCTGTGTCCTCAGGCAGCATTTCACATCTTAACGCCTCATCCCTAGGATACAGGAACCCTGAGACAACCTGAGCACAGATATATGGAGAGGAAAGGGGAAATGTCTGATTGGACCCCTTGAAAAGCATAATCTATGCTATAGGGTACTGTCCTCCCACTAGGGTAATCTCTGGGATTTGATCACAGTGAGTGCTGAAAAAAGTTCATTTTGCTTCTCTCATGAGGTAAACATCTAGCTCCATAGGCTCTGGTTTTAACACATATGGATAACCAGGTAGCATTTTAGTGTCATCTAAGTTTTTTTTTTTTGACTTCTGAAACATTAAATGAACATTGAAGTTTCTAGACTTAGAACGTGCTTACAAAATGATTTTTCTCTTTGAGAGTTATTTTAAAATTTAAATGTTTGTAATAGAAGAAGACCTAGAACATAGGAAGGTTTTTGTGCCACTTCCTCATCTGCCTGTTTCACTGTGAGCTGCATTGTTGTGATCAGTCATACAGTAATAGTCAGCCTCATCTTCAGCCTGAAGCCTAGAAATGTGTAGAATCTGTGCATTGACTGAGGCATCTTTGGATCCAGAGAAGTAGTTGGAGACTCCAGATCCCTGGTTCTTAATTGAGTCTGTGTGGTAGTACAGGAGATAATGGGGAGGGCTCCCTGGTTTCTGCTGGTTCCAGAATATTGCTTTTCCACCAACACTAATGTCACTGCTCAGGGTGCAGGTGAGTCTGGCTGATGCTCCAGGAGATGCAGAGAGAGAGAATGACTGAGTCAGTATAGTCTGAGAGAGGGAACCTGTAAACACAGACACTCATGGGTGAGGGGAGAAAATCCTGGGTATTTCAGAGATAGTTGGCAAAAAATTCAGAATCAGGATGGGCTGTGCCTCTTCTCAGAGACCTGTTCTTACCTGTGCAGTGAGAGAAGAGAACAAGGAGGAGAGGTGTTCAGGCCATGGTGGATATTGTCCTTGGTCCCCACAGTGAGGCTGGGCTTCTCCGGGCCTCCTTTTTTCCCCCAACCTCTGTAGAGGAGGGCTGCTCATGCCAATGTGCTTCCATTCAGTGACTGCCCAACCTCTTCCTGGGCACTGGGCCGCTGCAGACTTCAAAGGAGGACAGTTTACTTTCCCTTGGGAGTGACCTGGGAGGAAACACCTGCTGATACAACATGAATTTCCCTGCTCAGAAACACTGTCAGGCCAGAGGACATAGCTCAGTGAGAACAAGGATCAGTCTAGGGACACATTCTCCTTGGTGTGAGTGGTCTTTACTGAGCAACTGTATAGAGAACTCAGAGTCAACATACAGTACCATCTCCTGATATAAAGGTACAATCTTCTCTATGACCCAGAGACCTTAGAGCCCAATTGGTCTCTGCAGCACACCGGTCAATGTGTCTGCTCACACATCCATGGTCTGATATCCAGATACTGTGCTTCTGCTACCCTCTGCCTGTAGAAATACAATAGTATTACAGTTGGAGGAGTAATACTTGTTATTGTGAGGTACAAAAAATGTAGAAGAAAACTTAGGTATTTAGAGCCACAATAAAAAAGACTGCAAACACTATAACCATCCATTGTCACATAATTAAGTTGTGCATGCATTATTCATAATTCACTACTTGTACATTAAAGCAATGAATTCCAAAGACTCACACATAATTGATTTGTTTTAATAAGGTACTTTTTAGCTAATGTATTTGTTGCACAAATTGACAAAATGAAGGAAGCACAATGGGTCCTAAGGTTTGCAGCTGTGGGGTTCCCACCATGCCATGTTGTGTTAGAATAAAGTCCTGGCAGTCACCCATATCTTTCTCCTTTCATATCTCCTTGTGCAAAGTCATCTCCTCTGTGGACACAGAACACAAATCCACCATTCTTACTTCATGAGTTTTCTTACTCAGTCCTTTTGGCTGTGGTTTCAGTAATAGAGTATGATTTTCCTCGATAGCATCATTATTTCTAAAACTTTAAATATTAAACTATATTTACAGTAGTGCTACTATTTGGTATTTTGGTGACATATTTTTTGACAAGTGTCTGTCTTACAGGTTGTTAGATAAATGAAATATTTGAATGTCAGCTAATGTTTACCCAACTCTCCTGCTTTCTGCAGAGTTTGTCATGGAGGTGCCTGCTGAGCTCACTATCTGCCCCATCATCCACCTGCTCCATGTGGTTTCTTTACTTAGTCCCCTAAGGTTCTTCATGTTCTTATCTAATGGTTCTGTGTGAACACAAAAAATTCAATTCATTGTACTTTCCCTTCCCAGGATTTAGGGTTATTTTTCAGTATCCTCAATACAAGGCCAAAATCCTTATTTAATACCTCCTCTTGAATGAACTCAGAACACTAAACTTACAAAGTCCAGAAAGCAGAAATCATTATGTGTGTATCAGATCTGCTCCTTTTTGTGGAATTTCTATTCAGATGAGTTAACATATCCATGTAGCGGACACTTATTGAGTTTGCCCTTTGTGCTTTGCAAAGGTCTAGTTTCTCTAGATGTATAGATGACAACAAAGGAAAAATAATAATTGTTCTCATGGATCTTAGATGTTGGGGAAACACACAGTAAACAGACAAGGAGAAGCATCCTCACATGGCTGACACCACTCTGATAAGTTATTCATCCTAGGAATATGAAGCCCATTTCAGACTTTTGAGATCCCATATCCTCCCACTGGGTGTCAGCATTGAACTTCTCTGTGCTCTGTCCAGATCCTCTGGTTGGGTTGCTCTGTCACTGCCCTATTCTCTATGCTTAGAGCAGGTGCTCATCTCTGCACACCTAGACCCTGCAGAGTCCTTTTGTTTGATTTTTGCCATTCGTTTTGACAACTTTATTTTTACACTGTATTTATTTTTTCACTGTATTTCAAGTGATTATTTCATATGCATGTATATGATAATGTCACCTCTCTGCATAGAAATCTTCCATATCTTCTCTCACCATCAACATTAGGCAAATGTTATCTCCACATTCTGTATATCTGAATCTGTCCTTGATTTATCCCTATCCACTGGCCTCAACTCTTCACTTTCAGTTGATGCAAAAGCACAAGTGGGTCTCATTACAAAGAGGCTGCCTATCATTGGTCCAGTGTTCTCTTCTCTGTGAGTCCTTCAGACCCTCCTATCCCATCCTGTCTCCTTCCTTCAAAATCAGCTAGCATGTCCTTTGCTGATGAAATTCTGACCATTCTGATATAAGTGAACATTTACTTATATTACAGTAATTTACCAGGAATCCAGCAACCTGAAATGGTAATAGCTTGTAAGGATATTTTCTTAAGGCAAATTTAAAGATAGGTGTTCTAAGCAAGTAGCAAGTGTAAGATTCATATTATATACATGCATACATACATAAATATACATATTTTCTAATTGACTATTTCAATTAACATTCTACAAAGCAGCCACCATATGTGATATTATAGATTTCTTATTTAAAAAATTGAACCAGGTATCAAGGATAAATGAGTCTGTAGCATTGTAATTCAGCATTTTATTCAATTATGACCATCTTTAAAAATGTGACTCAGGTCAGAGGAAGCAAGATGGTGATGGCATAGGTGAACTGGTGAGATTCTCTAAACGGACCAAGACTACATACTGCTGAATAGACAGACTGTAAAGCAGAGGGAAAAGTGAACAAAGCCAGAAGACCCTCATAAGGAAGAACAGGTCATTGCAGAAGAGAAATAAAAGCAACCCCACCTTCCCTCAAAAACAGAATTGAAGAAGGGGAGGGAAAGGAGGAGAGGGAGAAAACTCTACAGAAATGAAGAAAAACCAAAAGAAGAGTATGAGTCTCTCCCAGACGCCTGGGAGAGCAGACACTGAGAAAACTGACTTTGGAATGCAAACAATGAAAAACCCCCAGAATGAAAGGTCTCAAACTGCAAA